GAGGGCAATGAATGTACAAATGTGCTTTACACAATTGATGTATGTACGGATTGTGATAAGAGTTGTATGAGCCCCTAATAAAACTATTTAAAATAAATAAATAAATGTCCTCCTAGAGATAAAGGAAGAGACGTGTAACACTTGTAATACAAGTAGAAAGAAGAAGAAGACAAACGTGGAAACACACAGGCATAGCAGATGCAATAAGGAAGGGAATACGGGCAAGAACAGCACGGTGCAATGTAAGCTCAGACAGGAATCCTCCCAGAAGGAAGCAGGGAAATTAAGGGACAGAATTCAGAGAGACAGAAAATGAAAGCAGACATGGCAGTACTGCAGATAATAAGAAAGGGGGAAGGAGGGAAAAGAGACACTCATACAAGAAGAAATATATGAAGAAAATTAATAATTCTCCAGAAATAGAAACAGGATTGAAAGAGTTTATAAAGAGCCAAACAAAATGTCTGAACACCCATAGCAACAAACACCACAGTGATATTTCGGGATAATGACATTAAAAACAGCTCTACAAGCGTCCAGAGTGAAAGAAGGATGGTGTTAACATCAGATTGTTTATACTGCAGCACTGACGCGCAAAGACGATAGAGTAATAGTCTTAAAGCACTGAATGAAAAGAACTTTGAACTTTGACTTACCAGAAATGAGGGCATAATGAAGATATTAGCAGGCACGGGTTGAATGTATGGTTAAAAAGATAGTATTAAATCCTGATAAAACAGTAATTACAACAAATATAAATGGCCTAAACTCACCAATTAAAGAACTCTCATACTGGATAAAATTAACTTATTGCCTACAAGAGACAAATATATAACAAAATACAGAAGAGCTGAAAACAAGAGTGGAAAAAATTCTCAAATTAATATGAACCAAAAGAAAACTAAAGAAGCAATCCCAGTATCTGATAACACTGAATTCAAGGGTTAAAAACATGCGACAAAAAGGAATGCTACAAATAAAAAGGAATGCTATACACTGGAAAGCGGAACAAAGGTAAAAGACAACAAGAGAAAAAGGGATAAACTTCCATGTTCTCTCAAACTCGTTCACTACATCAAGTTAACATTGGCTCAAAGCAGCCTAAGCACAGGCAAGAACTGCTCCCTCTGAGCTTATAAGACTGTAACCTTTAGTGAGGATAAAGCCTCCCTCTTTCTCCAGAGAATTGGCTGGTGATTTCGAACTGCCATCCTTGCGGATCGCAGCCCAATACATAACCACCACACCACTAGGGCTGCATGTCACAAATACTTATCATTTCAAATATATAAACATGCTTATATAAAGCAAGAGCTGTGAGAATGGCAGAAAAAAGAGATAGGCTGACAAATACACTTGAATATTTTAATATACTCCTTTAGAAGCTGCTAGAACAACACACAAAAAGTAAGCAGAGATACAGAAGATATAAGTAGTACAGTGACCAAGCCCTGGTGAGAGAGTGGTTACACATTGGGCTGCGATCTGCCTGGTCGACAGTTGGAAACCACCAGCAGCTTCGAGGGAGAAAGACTGGGCTTTCTAGTCCCGTAAACAGTCAGTCTCTGAAACCCACAGGAGGTTGCTATGAGTCAGCATCGACCTACTGCAGTAAGAAACATGCTCAGGCAAGGAGACAGAGAGCTCTGCACCCAAGTAGAGAATATGTAATTAGTGATACAATAGGCTGAAGAGTTAGTAAATTACAAGGGATCAGTAACACAGAGTCTAATTTCTCTGACCATAAATTAGAAATCAATAACAAAACCAAAGCTTTAAAAAGCATTCCATCTGGCTGGAACTCGGTTTAAAAATAAAGTTAAGAATTTTTTTTAAAAAAACATTCAGAAGTGAATGACAATGAAAACCCAACATATCAAATCTGTAAAACACACATAGATTATTACAGAGTGAGAACTGTTCATCTTTAAACACATTCCCATATGCGCTGTTTAATGCTGAAACAAGGAAGCGTTTCCAGTGTTCAAATAGAACTTTGAGCACTGTGTGGAAAAGCTCACACAAAAATCTACAAATATCTGTCCAGTGGCTTGCTGGGGCCTCTGCCCCTGGGGATTCAGGAGAGATAAAATATAGTGCTATCAATAAATAAACACCTAAAGGAAAAGATACATCAGGAAATGCCACTTTCATTTTCAATTAGAGCAGTGGTTCTCAACCTTCCTAATGCCGTGACCCTTTAATAGAGTTTCTCATGTTGTGGGGACCCCCAACTGTAAAATTATTTTCATTGCTACTTCATAACCGTCATTTTGTTAGTTATGTTTTCCGACGGTCTTAGGTGACCCCTGTGAAAGGATGATTCGACCTCCAAAGGGGTCACGACCCACAGGTTGAGAACCGCTGATCTAGAGCTCATGCGGATGGAGCAGAGCCTGTTGTACATGGACTTCCTGTGAGTTGGACCACCTAGCAACAAGAGGCTTCTCCGGGAGGTGTCAGGTGACACTAACTAGTGTTTTACTAAGAGCTAAAGATTGGCAGTTTGAACCCACCCAAAGGCATCTCAGAAGTGACCAAAGATGCTTCCAAAAGGTCACAGCTTTGAAAAGCCTACGACTAAGTAGCTCTGTCTGCACGCACGGGGTCACCGTCATTCTGCATCAACACAACAGCAACATGGATAGCAGGCCTACCTATCCATGCTTTTCCCCCAAACATGCTATGTCTGTCTGATAGAAGACCATGGCCCAGGAAGCCCTCACAAGTCTTCTGTGCGACAGCCCAGCATCAATGCGTCGTTGTAGCGAGAACTGTGAGCTAGGGATTTCATACCACCGCTGACACCGACAGCATGCACGGTCCACGGTGTGAGAGAAATAGTCCCTCCTCCAATGGAGACTACGGTCATGGGAACAATATATATTTGCATCTAAGTACCTGATAGGGTAAGTCAGCCATCCTTAAATAGGTTTCCATTTTCAGACAGAAAGGAGATAAACTGGGGACACCATTGTTAGGTCTTGCAAACTGATGCAAAATAATAGCATCTTTGGAGTCGATCTCTTGCTGTTTCCTGTCAAAACCAAAGGAGAAATAAAGAACAATCCATGTGTTATATATTAAGTTCCCTTCCTAGCAGAAAAGACCCTGCTGCGTTAGAACTCCTCAATGAACAGCCAGATCTGTTGTTTACCTGATCCAGAAACACTTACAGAAAGCAAGCTTCATGAAACCCCATCTGCCTAGATCAACACAAGCAGGAGAGTCGAAAATAAGAAGAGGATACGAGCGATTCATTGCCCTTGTGAGTTACTGCCTCTTCCTGCCAGGAGACCAGAAGACCTGTACGGTGCCTTGTCACCATTAATGAACATTTTGATCAACATTTCTATACAGCATTGGTCAAAGGAGAGAAAATGTTGAGCAGATTGACTAATTCTCATGCAATTCAGATTTTTCTGGACCCTTGGATGAGCCCCCGAAACCATTTGCCTAAACATCTTTAGACCTTACACCAAAAATATACTCAAAACCAAACAATAATTTTAAAGAACATCTGCTTTGAGCACTGTACTCTTTTAAGATATATCTGCATGGGATCAAATTAACAACAGCTACTTGATAGATGGGGAAACCTGGGGGCCGTGATTTTATGTTCAGGGAGAGGAACAGATCAGAGAGAGTGAAAATGTTTGTTCAACTTGAAGACTCTGCTCAATGTCACTGATTTGTAGATGTATGTAGAAATTTCTAAACTTGTGTTCTGCTATTCTCAACAAGAGAAAAATAAACTACTAAAACACACACACAAGAGAATCTTTAAAACTCTGATCGTGCCATGACCACAGAGCTCGGAAAAATAACTGCATGGCAGCCTCATCTGTGGCCTGTAGCCTATGGGCCAGAAGAATAGTTTGGGTACAGGTCTACTCTCTTCTTCAGCCAGCTCTGTTTTCCTGACAGAAGAGAAGAGGGTAGATAAAATGCTATTTTGACCTTATGTTCTCATTCAGTTCTCACAAAGGCATACGGATAGGAACTCAGACTCAGAGGAATAACTTGCCCAGAGTCCCACTGCTAGTAAATGGCAGGACCTGCATGAACCAAGCAGTTGTAGTCTATCTTCTAGACCATTAGGCTGTGCCACACAATCGTCTATTTGTCCATCCATCACAGTGCAGGTGTGTCCTGCCGTGAACGCCATGACTGAACATTCTGGTCCATGGTCCAAACTGCTTATGTCCTCATCTGACCTTTCACCTTTGGAGACTTCTGGGTCCTCTGCTCTCACACCTCTGCCTTCCCAGGGTTCCCTCTTCTCCACATAGCATGTATCTCAGTGCTCCCACCTCTTGCTGGTCCTCCATCTCAGCCACACAGCCACCCTTTCCTTTAGCTACTTTTTCTTTTTCTTTTTTTTCCATAGGTACCGTTTGTCAGAAGCCACCCTGCTAGAATGGGAGAGTCTAGATGCCTGGTGTCAAGTCTAAGCCCTGCTGCTCATAGGTCATGTTACTCTGAACCCCTCCTCCTTCCTCAGCTGAACAGTGACAACATTACCAAGTCTGCACTGAGGATGGTAAGGATTAAATAGGGCATTACCTGTAAATATTTGGTGAGCTATCTGCATTCTGTAAGAGTGGCAAGGTTGATTCTCATGACTCCTCATTTCCACAGCCTCACTTAACCTTCACCCCTCCTGCAGCTCTCCAGGTCATATACAACTCCCTCTTCCCTTTGACCTTCCTGGACCTCTGGCTCCCAGACATCAGTCCCAGTGTAAATTCACACCAACTTCCACCCAAGCGAGAGCAAGCCTTTGTATAACCATCACCCAGGATATTCACTTACTAAGGCATCCTTATTTAGTAAAAGAAACTCTTTGGGAAAAGCTTACTACCTGACTGTCTTTTCAACCGAAAGAATTGAAAATGACTTAGAGAGTTTAAAGCATTTAAAACACATCTGTCCTCTCAAGTCAAGTTTTGAAATAGTCGGTGCTTTCTAACAATACACACTCTAAAATAAAGGTGTCCGTTCCAGTAGTAGTGCTGGGTGCCCAGGTATTGCCACTAAGTCAAGAACAAGGAAGCTGCTGGGAATTAGGTTCCTACCTGCACAACAATAGATATGATAATTCATGCATTTTATCTGCCCAAATAATTCAACTCACACAGGGGTATTTGCATGTAAAGTTTCCAAGAAATAAATTGAAGCACTGAAAGGAGAGAATTAGCATGAAAGCCTCCTGCTCCCTTGGCCAGAAGAGCAATCTCATCCTATTGGTTAATTTGGGTCATGTCATAATAAGAATGGATGCTAGCTGTGTGTCAAACATTTACCAATAAGTCTGTACACATTCTACATATTAACTTATATCATTCTGACAATAACACTAGAGTATTGTTATAATTCAAATTTAGTACGCTATACTTTATTATTTTACAGTCGACAAGGAAACTGAAGCTCAAAGAGACTAAATAACTTGCCCAAGGAAAACCAACTCAGGAGGCATGTTCTCATTCATTTCTCACACAGGTATATGGATAGGAACTGTTGCTCTCTCTGTTTCCTAAATGAGGAACCTGAGACACAGAGGAATACCTTGCCCAGAGTCGCACGGCTGGTAAATGGCAGAACCAAAATGAGCAATTCCTCAGTTAATTTTATTAACGGTTGACTCAGACCACTCAAGCCTTGGAGGACTGGCTGATGAAAGTGTTAATAGCTACTGATGTCCAATCTTGGTTGAGGGCTCACTGCATGCCAATCGCTAACCATTTCCCATGTGTTAACTCTTGTTATCAATGCCATCAGGAAAATTACTATGATTATCCCCATTTTACAGATAATAAAACTGAGTAACCAAGAGAATTTGACTACGATATCCAGGGTTACATGATCGGTTAAAGGCAGAGCTTGAATTTGAACCCGGATAAACTGGTTCCAGAGAACCTCTAGCTTGGGTCAAAGGCCCGGGTGAGCTGTTACCTATAAAGCTATAGTTTATAAAGTGGGCTGATACTGAGATTTATGAGAGAGAATCCCTGTTGAGCACCAGCCTAGCCTCTACTCTCATGGCTAAGGATAGCACAGATGACTACGCATTTGGATCTGGCTGATGAGCTGTTAAGGAGCCCTGGTGGCGTAGTGGTTGAGTTGGGCTGCTAACTGCAAGGTCAGCAGTTCAAAACCATCAGCTGCTACACGCTCCAGGAGAAGAGTTAGCATCTTGGATACTCACAGGCCAGTCCCACCTTGTCCTAGAGGCTCAATGGCAGTGAGTGATGAGCTGTCAGTGTATGGAAACCTGAAGATGGCCCCTGGGCTGCTCCGGTTCTCTAACTAGGGTTCCCAGGATGGGCTCAGCCTTGTGCCAAAAGAGCAAATGAGTTCCTGATGGCAGTCAGTACCTAGTCTTTCAATTTAGAAAAGGCGCCCTGCATCTAAGAGCACAACATGTGTCCCTTTAAAAAACATTGGGATGAGAAAAACCATGCATAAAATCCACAAAACCTACCTTGTTAATGTCATTCATTAAACTTCCTAAATATCCTCACCTGTCGGCTTTACTGTCCACTGTGTATACATAGCCATAGCTAAGGTTAGGTCTATACAGTACAAAAAGCAAGTGAGAAAAGTTAGCAAGGGAATTCCCACACTATAGCACCCATCGTTCGGATTTGTTGAGGGGTGCAGGTGTTGGTTGGTTGTGGCCTGAAGAACACAGACAATTGAAGCTTAGATTTCATCCTAAGGGGCAACTGCCGTCATGTAACCTCCTCAGTCCTCTCCAGGGTCCTCTTCCCTCATTATCCTGCATCCCTTGAGGTCTGGGAGCAACTCAGCCCCACCCCCACCCCCTCCCCTGAGCAATGCCTCCCTCTCATTTCTCTTCCTCTCCCCTCCCACCAAAACTTACTTCAGATTGGCTCTTCCTAGGAGGCAGTGGCAAAACAAGTGGCAACTGCGCACACCAGGAAAACCCTGACTCTGGATTCTACTACTGCACTCGTGTGATCTTGGGCAGCTTGTCTAACGTTCCCCATAACGGGGAGACCACCCTCCAAAGATGGCAGTGAGGCATAAAAGCAACAACACAGGTAAAGCACTTAGAAGTGTAGGGCTACAATGTGCTCAAATACTAGTAGCCATTGTTATATTTGTATTCTACCAAGGTTTTCCAACTCAAATGCACAAACATTCATCCATAAGCCAAAGTGAATAACCCAAGAGCTTATACCACCTCCACATTGAGGCTTCCTGTCCTAAATGAGAAAGGAGGGATCTGTGGGCAGAGGGCTGTCTCTATCTACAACCCCATCGCCCAGGGCGTGGCCTGCTGCCGGCATGCTCTGCGCTCCCCACTATTTCTGCAAGGTCATTTCTGGCACCTTTGACACTGGTCCTGTAGGTCTATGCCTTCACTCCCTCCACAAAGCAGAGAAGTGGTGAGAAGCCACATGGTTTAGGATCCTCAAAAAGCTTTGGGCTGGGATATAACTGAGGGACAACAGGGCTAACATTTAAGTGACTGCACAAATATTTTGGTCTCTCCCATACCTTAAACCCTAACTTGAAACAAAGTGCTAAAACTGGTACATATATATAAACAACCCAGAGAGTGAATTCCATTTTAAAAGAGTTATTTGGTTCCACAAGATTCAAGGCACCCTGCTAGGTGGGAGAACCAAAGGCATTAATCCACTTAAAATAAAGCTTCCTAATTAGGGATAAAGACTATAAAAGCCAATACATTTCTCCAGACCTGTAAGAAACCCTCTACTCTGGAAATACTCAATATACCTAACAGGCTGTCCGTGCCCTCTTGAAATCCTAGGCAGCCTGTTAAAGGTCACCTAGCCCTTTGTTTACAGCCTATTGTGAGGATTCCCCCACTGGAAAGAGGCAGTGTGGACACAGGTTTCTATCTTTGGAAAATACAGGCCAAAAGGGAGATTGTGAGCTATTGGAAACCGCTGGGCTTCTGGTAATCTTCCAGAGAGGGAAGATTTAACCCTAAATTAATGTATCGATTAGCTAAGCAATCTTCCCAATCCCCTCTGGTATTACCCTACTCAAACAAAGCTCTAGCGGCCAGCTGGCTGTACCAGCAGCAGGGGCCTCCATTTTCTGGAATTTCCGAGTCAATCCTGTAAACATTCTGCGGCAGTGGAGGTAACTGTTTCCGGCACTGGGCGAGTCCTGTTATGTCAAACACGCCCATGTGCTAGTCCTGTCCTCCCGTGATCGCCCACTGCTCACACAACAATGACATTCAAACCCGAGGCTGATTAGCTTGACCGCCTAGGTAACCCACAACCTGCTTAGCACTGCATCAAAGCGGCACACCAGACACGACCATTTCTGAGTGGGGGACCTGCCGCCCTCTGGGGATTTTGCAATCCCAATCACTTGAGGATGTTGACAATTGGTGAGGGGTAGTGGTGAACTAACATTTATGCAAAAGATGCGGTTCTAGGTTAATATTCCATCACTAACTGTAAACAAACAGGACATTTTCATAAACGTGACACTTAGCATTTCAACCGTGCACAATTCTGTGTCTTGTGGTAAACACAGGGCACTCAGACTTTTACGAACGATCTCTCAGAATAGACTATTTTGCTGATATTGACTAGAGACCCTAAGTCTTTTTGCTTTTAGCATCGAGAGGTGGGGAGACAAATGTATTTCCCTCCCGGCGCGGGTTTCATTTCATTCTCCTGTTAACTCTAAACTGCCCCTCGCGGCCACAAAACCACGAAGTGCACTTGGAGAACGGCAAGAGCGAGGTATTTGGGCATTTGGGCGGGCGTGACCGAGCGGCTGGCACAGGTCCCCCTCGCGCCAGCCCAGCCCGGCCAAGCGCCCCTCGGCGCCCCTGCGCGGGGCCCTTTCTCCGGCTCACCTAATGACCAGGAGTTCGTGGAGCAGATACGCAGCTGCGGCCAGCAAAGCTCCCCCGGTCAAGTAAAGGGTTTTCTTCCACCAGGGATCGGAGCCCAGCCCTGCCATGATCCCACCGTAATCCTGCAAAGGGAAAGCGATGATGTCCCCATAAAAGGAGAAGGGGTCCTCGGACCCGGCCCACCAGCCGAAGAAGGAGACGCTCTGGTTCCGGCTCAGGTCCACCACGCACGGCCGGGACGAGGCAAAGCCAACCCCCCAGTGCATGCTGCGCGGCTGCTGCG